GAAGGGGGCCTAACGGGCCGCGAAGGGGCTTATGAGGGGCCGCTAAGGGTCGTTAAGGGCAGGCGCGACGCGCGCCTCGGGTAGGAAAAAAAAAAAATAGTGTAGACGTGGTGGGCCCTTAGGAAGGATCGATATATGCTCTATACCATGTGAGAATCGAGAAGGAATGAGAAAGGATGATTGCACTAGAAAGCATTGGGATACATATAGCAAACCGTAACAGGGTTGTACTCACTACAAAGTACCCCACTGCAGACTAGAGAAACATAATATTCTGACAGGTCCATCGCCTCAGGCCATTGGTGATTGGGCAGTCGCATGCCACGCAGTAATTTGCGCATGGTGTTCTGGAGAGTTCGATTCATCCGTTCAGCCACGCCTTGTTGTTGATGGGCGTAGGGAAGCGAGATGAGCCTCTTGATTCCTCTTTCTGCCAAGAACTGCTTGAACCTCTGTGAGGTGTATTCTCCTCCTCCGTCTGACTGGAAGCTTTTGAGTTTCACGCCTGATTCTCGTTCTGCTACTGGGAGCCAAGCGATGAAGGCTTCGAAGGCCATGTCCTTGCTCGGAAGATTGAGGTGCCAAACGTAACGCGTGGCAGCATCGATGAACGTAATGGTGTAGCTGTATGCTCCTTGTCCTGGTTCGCGATTGTACAGGATGTCGCTGTACACTTTTTCAAGTGGTGCGTAAGCTGGTGCGCTGGGGTTGTGGTGAGAAGTGAAAGGCCGATGTGGTAAGTCAGCTTCGGGGCAGGTAAAACACGTTCCCCGCGCTCGTCGAAGTTCGCTACCGTCGGTTAGAAGCAGTGAATCTTTGTCGAGTACGCCTGCTCGGATTGTATTGTTTAACACCGTGTTGCTTGGATGTCCCATTCGTGCGTGCCAGATGTCTTCGCTGGCGCGATGTCCGGGTGAGCGACGATACAGGTCGGAGTTGGAGTAAAAGGCGGCGGTGAAGTTGGCGCTTCTGTGAACTTCACGAGGAGTGGGAGTTAGCTGCTGCGTAGGATTCGGTGGAGTGTTGTCGATGTGTGGCGATGTCGTCGAAGAGCTCGCGATTGGTATTGTAAGTATTGTTGGTGTTGCCGATGTTGTCTCTGCTGCTGTTGATGTTGTTACTTCTTGTCGGATTGTCGCTAATGCTCGTGTTCTTTCTGCTTCAGGTATGGTATGTGAATACCAGAACCCTTCGGGGCTTAAGTCAGGGTCAAGGTCCGATGGGTGCGTCCAGGGGGCGAAGTTGACAATGGTGTCGCTATCGGCCGTTCCTAGATCTGGTACGAAGTCGAGGACGAAGACGTTATTCTTCAATACTGCTCTGCCGATGTAGAGTCCTCCTCGACCGTGGAAGAGCTTGAACTCCTGTGTGGTGCTGTCTGCTTCAAGATGGATCCCTCTCGAACGGTCCTCCCCCCTCTCGAACGGTCCTCCCCCCTCTCTCTCTCTCTCATCGAGTCATCGAGTGTGACCGGTCTGACTCATCGAGTGTGGGGAGGTCTGGAGAGGTTCACGATCCAACGTTTCCTCAACGCCCCCCCCCTCTCCTTCCTTCCCTACTTCACCACTGCCTGTTCCTCGTTTTGCTGTAGGTCCGATGCATCGAGTGTGGAAAGGTCTGGGGCAGCGCAGGGGCTGAGCGAGGTGCTAGGGGCGCAGGGCCGGCACCGCTTCGAGCTGCTGCTGCCAGATCTCCTGGCAGGCTGCTCGCACAAGGTGGCGACTGTCAGAGACGGCCATTTGACGCTGTTCAAGGTGAGTCAACGCTGGTCAACACTGGTCAACGCTTGTCAACACTGGTCAACGCTTGTCAACACTGGTCAACGCTTGTCAACACTGGTCAACGCTTGTCAACACTGGTCAACGCTTGTCAACACTGGTCAACGCTTGTCAACACTGGTCAACGCTTGTCAACACTGGTCAACACTTGTCAACACTGGTCAACGCTTGTCAACACTGGTCAACGCTTGTCAACACTGGTCAACGTTTGTCAACACTGGTCAACGCTTGTCAACACTGGTCAACGCTTGTCAACACTGGTCAATGCTCCTCTCCTCTTCTTCTCCTCATCTTTCCGTCTCCATTGCCTCCTCTCCACTCCCCTCCACGCCCGTGCCTGGCAGTACCTACCGCTGTCCTTCGGGGCGCCCTTCCAGAACTACCTCCCCCAAGTGCAACCTGCCATCCTCGACGGTACATGACGCTGCAAATATACTTGTCCCTCATCTCCTTTTTAATTGTTGCTTCCCTTCCCACTTCAATGCTCTCTCATAAGGCTATCTTTCAGCCGCCTGACACTGAATGCGTGGAGAGAATTTCTTCTCTGTGCACATATCTTGTCTCTTCCCTTTTCCTCTCGTGTCACTCTTGCCGTTTCCCATGCCTTTGGGACAGATGAAATCGGCAGCGCTTATCCTGATTTCCCTTTTTCCTTTCTTTTCCTCCCTCCACACATCCCCTCTCAGGTCTGGCGGATGAGAGTGAGAGTGTGCGTGATGCAGCACTGGCAGCCGGACATGTCTTGGTTCAGCAATACGCCATCAGGTACGTTCTTTCTCACTCCGTGTTTTTTTTTGTGTTCTATCTCTCTTTGTTCTCTTATGGGTTCCTCCTCTTTCCCCCCTCCTATCCTCTCCTCTTCCTCCACATCCCCAGCTTATTACAGCCAATACGTTTCTTCCACCTTGCTCGTCTTCCTTTCTCCTCTCCCTCAACCCCCCCCACCCTTTCCCCCAACCAGCTCGCTGCCCCTGCTGCTACCAGCGGTGGAGGAGGGGCTGTTCAGCGACAGCTGGCGGATCAGGCAGAGCTCCATGGAGCTGCTGGGCGACCTGCTCTTCAAGGTGATTATAACGAGGGGGGAATGGGGGGGGGGGGGGGGGGGGGTTATGTCTTGTGACTATAACAAAGTGGAAGCTCTCCATGGAGCTGCTGGGCGACCTGCTCTTCAAGGTGACTAAAACAAGGGAAGTGGGAAAGGGGTAACTCTAGTGGTTACGGGTGACTATGTTGGAGAGGCAGGTCTCCATGGAGCAGCTGGGTGACCTGCTCTTCAAGGTGACATGACTAAAGCGAGGGGGGAAGGGTTACCTCTTGTTGCTTCAGATACCTCTTGTTGAAGTAGCTGTAATGGAGAGAGGGGAGGGGGCTTCATAACAAGGTGACTAAAGCAACAGCGGGGCGATTCTCGATTCTAGTTTTCGTAACTCCCCCTCTCGACCTGCTTCTCTCTCTTCCTCCTACCTTCTCCCCCCATCACAGGTCGCAGGCACGTCAGGCAAGGTGGAGCTGGATGGTGGCATCAGCGACGACAAGGGAGCGAGCACAGGGGCACAAAGCTGAGCAAGGCAATCCTTGTTACAACTTCTTCCTAACTCCCTTCTTCCTTTTGCCATTTTCTTCCTCTCTCATGTCAGGTGGCAGGCACATCAGGCAAGGTGGTGTTGGAGGGAGGCAGCGACGACGAGGGGGCGAGCACGGAGGCGCAGGGTCGGGCGATTCTGGACGTGCTGGGGCTGGATAGGCGCAACGAGGTGCTGGCTGCCGTCTACATCGTTCGATCCGACGTGTCTCTGTCCGTGCGACAGGTGAGACTTGGGCGAGTGAGGCATAGGGTGGAGGCATGGGCATGAGACAAGGGGGGGATGAGGCATGGGGGTGTGAAGCATGGGCATGAGTGATGGGAGGCACAACAAGGGCGTCTCAAAAAGGGCCGGGCGATTTTGGACGTGCTGGGGCTGGATCGGCGCAACGAGGTGCTGGCTGCCGTCTACATCGTTCGATCCGACGTGTCTCTGTCCGTGCGACAGGTGAGGAAGCCTACTGTGCCCAGTGCATCCGTTGAGGTGCGTACATGGTTGCTCTGGAAGGAATTGAACTCCCTGCCCGCCCGCCCCACTCACCTGCATGCATACCCACTCATGCATTTCCTCCCTCTGTGTGTGATTCAAATAGTTCTCCCTCTCGCACCACTGCAGTCCGCCGTGCATGTGTGCAGTGCAAGACCATAGTGGCCAACACCCCGCGCATGCTCAAGGAGATCATGCCCACACTCACCCGCTCTCGTTAAGCTTTTAGTACCGCTCGCTTTCCTTCCCTCCATTCCTGTTCAACCCCCTCCCTCTTTGCAGTTGGCAGTGCATGTGTGGATGGAAGACCATCGTGGCCAACACCTCTCGCACGCTCAAGGAGATCATGCCCACGCTCAAGGAGATCATGCCCACGCTCAAGGAGATCATGCCCACGCTCAAGGAGATCATGCCCACGCTCACACGCTCTCTTTCACCTTATATCACTTCTCAATTCCGTCCCTTCCCTTTCGATCCCCCTCTCACCCAAATGCAGTCCGCCGTGCACGTGTGGAAAACTATTGTGGCCAACACGCCGCGCACACTCAAGGAGATTTTGCCCACACCGCACCACACTCATGCGCTCTCTGTCACCTTAAATCACTTCTCACCTCCCTCCCTTCTCTCCCCATCCCCCTTCGCGCCCCACCACAGTCCGCGGTGCACGTGTGGAAGACCATTGTGGCCAATACCCCGCGCACACTCAAGGAGATCATGCCCACACCACACTCATACGGTCTCTTTCACCATAAAAACCACCGCTCACCTCCCTACTCTCCCTTCCCATTTCCCCTCTCGCCCTACTGCAGTCTGCGGTGCACGTGTGGAAGACCATTGTGGCCAATACCCCACGCACGCTCAAGGAGATCATGCCCACGCTCATGCGCCTCCTCATCGACTCCCTCGGCTCGCCTTCTTTTGAACGCCGTCAGGTGCGAATGGGACTGTACTCGCACCATATTTCCCGTACTCACATCGTATTTTCTATTCCAGTTGAAAAGCCATCCATGTATGTTAATGTGTACGCAATAGGAACCCCTCAGCTAGGAGAGCGCGTGATGCTGCTGGCAGGCAGCTATCCATCCCCTTGCTGTGCCACCAATCTTCCCACCGCTTTTATCACCCTGTGTGTCTCCCCCTTGCCCGCCCCCAGATGGCCAGTCGGGCCATAGGCGAGTTGGTGCGCAAGCTGGGAGAGCGAGTGCTACCCTCCGTGGTGCCCATCCTCTCTGCTGGTCTCAAGGACCCCAACCCCGCCACCAGACAGGTGCGACTCTTCAAAACCAGGACCCCGCAATTCGCCCCAGAGACAGGTGGATGAGTGTTGAATCCGTGCTGCCCTCGGTGGTGCCCATCCTCTCTGCTGGGCTCAAGGACCCCAACCCCGCCACCAGACAGGTGAGTTTCGTTTTGAGACTCTTTAGAATCATGAACCCGTCAATTCTCCCCAGAGACAGGTGGGTAGGTGGGTGCGCGTGTTGCCTTCTTTGTTGAATCTGTGCTGCCCTCAGTTGTGCCCTTCCCTCTCTGCTGGCCTCAAGGACCCCAACCCCGCCACCAGACAGATGTGTGTGTGTGTGACGTGTCTGTTTATGTGGCACTCTGTATTATGATCCTGTGCTGCCCTTTGTGCTGCACACTTAGGTCTGATCCGTCCATGTCATCGCATCATCTATCCATTTCATCGCCTCCATCCATATCCTCACACCAATCCATGCCATCAAAATCCTTTGCTGTCTCGCCATCCTGGCAGGGTGTGTGCTGCGGGCTGGGCGAGGTGATGAATGCAGCAGGGCGGCAGAACCTCACATCCCACCTGGACGATCTTATCGGCACCATCCGCACCGCGCTCTGCGACGAGTGAGTAATATGTGGTGGCTTTGTAACACCTCCTGTGTCCGTCCTCCTGCTCCTCCTGCTCATCCTGTCCCTCGGCTCCTTCGTTCCTCCCTGTCTCTCGTGTTGAGCAGGGATGCTGAGGTGCGGGAGGCAGCAGCACAGGCCTTCAGCACACTCTACAAGGTGCGTGCCTCACAGCGCAATCCGTTATCTCATGGATATATGACTGTTAAAGGTGAATTCTTTTTGCAAAAGTGTCACATTGTACTGCTGCTTTTCCTCTCTGTGCATTTGCCTTTCCTGTCTACACAGAGTGCGGGCATGCAAGCCATTGATGAGAGCGTGCCCACCCTGCTGCACTCTTTGAATCCCACCAATAAGTTTTACCTTCCCCTCCCCTCTCCCCCCATTTCCATCAGAGTGCGGGCATGCAAGCCATCAATGAGATCGTGCCGGCCCTGCTGCACTCACTCCATGGAGCTGACTGAAGGGACCTCCACCATCGCCTCCCCTCCTCTTTCCCCCGCCTCCCTCCCTCGACCCTTTCCCCTTTCACTCCCCTCCCATCAGAGTGCGGGCATGCAAGCCATTGATGAGATCGTGCCCGCCCTGCTGCACTCTCTGGAGCTCACTAGTAAGCTGACCAATAAGCTCCCTCCGTTTTTCCCTCTTTCCCCCACCCCAGAGTGCGGGCATGCAAGCCATCGATGAGATCGTGCCGGCCCTGCTGCACTCCATAAAGTTGACTAAGAAGTCCCCCTTCCCCCTCTCTCCCCCCCTTCTCCCCTCTCGTTCCCCTCAACCACAACACCCTCCTACCAGAGTGCGGGCATGCAAGCCATCGATGAGATCGTGCCGGCCCTGCTGCACTCCATAAAGTTGACTAAGAAGTCCAACTTCCCCCTCTCTCCCCCCCTTCTCCCCTCTCGTTCCCCTCAACCACAACACCCTCCTACCAGAGTGCGGGCATGCAAGCCATCGATGAGATCGTGCCCGCCCTGCTGCACTCTCTGGAACTGACTAAAGGGACCCTCCTCCCACTCCCCCCCTGTACCCTACCATCTCCCTCCCCTTGCGTTTGCCTTCCCTTCCTACACAGAGTGCAGGCATGCAAGCCATTGATGAGATCGTGCCCGCCCTGCTGCACTCGCTGGAGGATCCCCGCACGTCTGCCACGGCGCTCGATGGGCTCAAACAGATCCTCAGGTGAGATGCGCTCAGGTGGATTCTCTGGTGGGGTGGGCTCAGATAAATTCTCAGTTGGGATGGGTTCAGGTGGATTCTCAGGTGGGATGGGCTCCAATGAATTCTCAGTTGGGATGGGTTCAGGTGGATTCTCAGGTCGGATCAATTCAGGTGAATTTTCTGGTGGAATAAGCTTCTCAGTTGGGATGGGCTCAAGTGGATTGTCTGATGGAGTGGATATGGTCCCAGGTTCAATACCTGCATTTTGCATCATAAAAACGTTCTGACCCGCTTCCCGTTTCTTCCCATTTCCCGTTCCTTCTTCCCGTTCTCATTCCGTTTCTCCCCTCTGCCTTATGCCCCCCTCCCCTTCCTCCCCTTGTGCTGCAGTGTGCGCACCATAGGGATCTAAAATTCAATCCGCTTTTCCCTCTGCCATATCCCCCTTTTCCCACTCCCCGTCTCCCCCTTGTGTTGCAGTGTGCGCACCACTGTCGTTCTACCCCACATCCTGCCCAAGCTCGTCAAACCGCCTCTCACGTACGTAAACTGGCCTGAGGTGAAAACCCACTGCCCTCCATGTATGTACACTCTCCCCTTCTCGTCTTCTCCCCTTCTACGATTGGCCTGTCCACTGCCAAAGTATGGCATGTGATAATTAGGTATAGCCGGTTTTCCTGTTTTATCCTTTGCTCCTTCTCACATTCAATTTGCCATGCAGTATATCTAGCTGCGGAACTCAATGATTAGGGTTTGGGTTTACGATCTCCTCTTCACCCAACCCCGGTCTCGCCCTGTTGGGAGTTCAAAGCGTGCGCATTGGGGGCGCTGGCAGAGGTGGCAGGGCGTCAAAGTTTAGCATTACCCTTCACCCACCAACCCTTCTTCCCCCCCTCCCCTTACTCGCCCTCCCCTCCTCCTCTCGCCCCCCGTCTCGCCCACACAGGGAGTTCAAGGCACATGCACTGGGGGCGCTGGCAGAGGTGGCAGGGGCTTTAGGGCTCAACAATACCCTCCCGAACAAATCCCCCCCCCCCCCACCTCTCTTCGTATTATCCAACCCTATTTCGCTCACACAGGGAGTTCAAGGCACATGCGCTGGGGGCGCTGGCAGAGGTGATGGGGGCTTTAGGATTCAACATTACCCTCCCGAACAAACATCCCCCACCTCTCTTCTTATTCTCCAACCCTCTTTCGCCCCCACAGGGAGTTCAAGGCACATGCGCTGGGTGCGCTGGCAGAGGTGGCAGGGGCTTTAAGGTCTACAACCTCTCCCACCTTCCCTTCTCGCTCACATACTCTCTTCCCTCCCCCACAGGGAGTTCAAGGCACATGCACTGGGTGCGCTGGCAGAGGTGGCAGGGGCTTTAAGGTCTACAACCTCTCCCACCTTCCCTTCTCGTTCACATACTCTCTTCCCTCCCCCACAGGGAGTTCAAGGCACATGCGCTGGGTGCGCTGGCAGAGGTGGCAGGGGCGGGCATGTGTGTGCATCTGGCAACCGTGCTGCCTCCGCTGCTCAACGAGATGGGGCAGATGGAGGAGGTGAGCGAGTTAGAGGGGCTAGAGGGAAGTGAGCAAGGCTAGAGGGGTATGCTGCTGTGGTGGCAGTCCCGGGATCTGTCGACGATTTTGAGTGTTTTTGCACTGGTATCATGCACTGGTATCATGCACTGGTATCATGCACTGGTATCATGCACTGGTATCATGCACTGGTATCATGCACTGGTATCATGCACTGGTATCATGCACTGGTATCATGCACTGGTATCATGCACTGGTATCATGCACTGGTATCATGCACTGGTATCATGCACTGGTATCATGCACTGGTATCATGCACTGGTATCATGCACTGGTATCATGCACTGGTATCATGCACTGGTATCATGCACTGGTATCATGCACTGGTTTCATGCACTGGTTTCATGCACTGGTTTCATGCACTGGTTTCATGTAAGACATTCTCGAAAACTCTCTCTGGCACCTCTTCTTCCACAACCTTCTTCCCCCAACCTGCTTTCCACAACCTTCTTCCCCCAACCTGCTTTCCACAACCTTCTTCCCCCAACCTGCTTTCCACAACCTTCTTCCCCCAACCTGCTTCCACACTCTCTCTCCCCCATTGCCCATCCACTCTCCCTACATTCCCCCCTGTGCTCCATGGCCGTGGCATCAGCAGAGGCGGTGGTGAAGGGGGTGGGCGAGAAGGGCCTTGACTTTCTCATAGGCGAGCTCACCCTGCTTCGTCTTCCCTCTGTTCCCCTATTCCCCGCGTCCCCCATTCTTCCCCTCACCCCAGTCCCCCCTGCGCTCCATGGCGATGGCATCAGCAGAGGCGGTGGTGAAAGGGGTGGACGAGGAGGGGCTGGACTCTCTTATTGGCGAGCTCACGCACGCTCTCTCTGATAACTCGGTACGTTCTGGGAAGAGGTAAGGGCGGGTGGTAGAGGTGGGAACAGGGGTGAGTGGGGAGGGAGATGGGGCGGTTGAGGAGGGGCTGCATTTTCTTATAGGTGAGATCACCCACACACTCTCTTCTGCTCCTATCTCCTCTCCTTTTCTCTGCTCGTCTCTCCTTTCCTTTCCCCTCTTCTCCTCATCTTGTCCTCCCTTCTCTTCTCCTCTCCTGTCCTCTTCTCTCCCTATCCTTCCCAGGCTGTCATGAGGCGCGGAGCAGCGAAGCTTCTAGGAACGTTCTGCAAGATCACGCGAGTGGATCTGGAGGAGGAGCTGCCGTCGCTGATGACCATCCTGATCGTCATGCTGGCCGATCCTGATGAAGCCTGTGTGAAGGTATGATGTGGTGGTGGCATGGGGCGGTGCATGGGTGCCGTGACAGTATGGGGTGTCTGCTGGATAGGTCAGAGGAGGAGCTACCATCGCTGATGACCATTCTCATCGTCATGCTCGCAGACCCCGATGAGGCCTGTGTGAAGGTGTGATATTGATGCATCAATGCATGTCATTTCATGCCCTAGCCATGCATGCATGGATCTGGAGGAGCAGCAGCCACCATCCCATATCGCGATCGTCACTCTCACTATCACCATCTCCCAATGCCATTCATGACTTTTGAGACGTCTCAAAAGCCACCATCCCATATCGCAATCGTCTCTCTCACTATCACCGTCTCCCAATGCCATTCATCCCTTCCCCTGGGATCTTCATCAATCAACTACCGCCCTGTCCCTTTGCCCCTTTTTTTAAACCCAACGTCCACTTCCCCCCCGCCACCCATCACTTAATGTGCCCCTCTCTCATTCAGGTTGCATGGGAAGCTCTTGGCAGTGTCACGAGCACCATCCCCAAGGAGTCCCTCCCAGTGCACCTCAAAGTGGTTCGAGACGCCGTTGCCACAGCACGAGACAGGGAGAGGAGGAAGAGGAAGGTGGGTTCCCTTCCCGCCCTTGCATACGTAAGGTCTCCGAGTCTCTTTCCTCACAATGTAATGTGTTATTTTCTTCCGTGTCGTCTCTCATTTTGAGGCGCCTCAAAACTCGTCTCTTTCCTTACAATGTAATGTGTGTTTTCCTTGCGTGTCGTCTCTCACTCGCACTGGTCCTATCTTCTCCTCCCCATCCCACATGCTCGTTTAAGATTTTCAAAATTCACTCCCGCCGTTTTTGTCTCTCCCACTTGTCAACCCACAGGGCCTTCCCATGCTTGTCGCTGATTTCTGCCTGCCCAAGGGCTTGCAACCGGTGCTTCAGATATACCTGCAGGTGAGCGTCTCACCAAATATACCTGCTCCAGATATGCTTGCTCCAGATATACCTGCTCCAGATATGCCTGCTCCAGATATACCTGCTCCAGATATGCCTGCTCCATATATACCTGCTCCAGATATACCTGCTCCAGATATACCTGCTCCAGATATACCTGACGTGCTGCCAGGCTTCAGCATGTAGAAACATCTCAAATCTCCCCCACGCCAGGCTTGCCACAGGCAGCAGCAGGCGCACCTGCCTCACCTGTCTCATCCACTCCCCCTCCACTTCCCCCTGCCCTTCCCGCAGCCGCTCCCCCTCCAGTCGCTCATGCTGAAATGCGAGAGGCAGCAGCAGACTTGCTGGCGGAATTGATTGATGTTGCCAGTGATGTGGTCCCTTCCTTCCCCTTTCCCTTGCCCCTCCCGCTCCCCCTCCCACTGCCTCCCCTCCCCACCTCCCCTCCAGGCGCTCATGCTGGGGTCAGCGGAGATGCGAGAGGCGGCAGCAGACGGGCTGGCGGAATTGATTGATGTTGCCAGTGAGGCGGCTCTGCGGCCGTTTGTGGTGCCAATTACTGGGTGAGTGCGGATGGGTGTGGATGGGTATGGATGGGTGTGGATTATTTTGAATGTTAAAAGTGGTAAGCGAGGCGCCACTCCAGCCATTTGTGGTGCCCATCAATGGGTGAGCGTCAACTAGTAAATGGTTCGCAACGCATGCGTACAGATGGGTGTGCATGCGTGTGAATTCCTCCCCCCACACCTCCTCACAGCCCTTGCGTTCCCTCTCTCGCCTCTCCCCCCCCCTTGTCCCCCTCTCCCACTCCCTCTTTGCATCACCTTCCTCTTCGATCTCCCTGCTGCTGCCCTCCCCACCTCCCCCTCATCCGCATAGTGGGGGATCGCTTCCCCTGGCAGGTCAGGTCAAGGCGTTCATTGCCCCCAAGCTCTTACATGCCCTCTCAGGCCCTCCCTCTCTCCCATCTCTCCCCCTGCTGCCCTCTCCACCTATCCTCCCTCTCTCAGCCCCCTCATCCGCATAGTGGGCGATCGCTTCCCCTGGCAGGTCAAGGCCGCCATTCTCTCTACTCTCGCCATCCTCATCTCCAAGGGGGGCATTGCACTCAAGCCCTTCCTGCCTTCTAATCCCTTCTTCCTATCCCCCTCCTCCTGCCTGCTTGGTTCCACCCCCCTCCTCCCAGCCCCCTCATCCGCATAGTGGGAGATCGCTTCCCCTGGCAGGTCAAGGCAGCCATTCTCTCAACGCTAGCCATCCTCAACTCCAAAGGAGGCATCGCCCTCAAGCCCTCATGCACTCTATTCCTCTCTTCCTATCCCCCTTCCCCTACCTGCTTGGTGTCCCCCCCCCCCCTCAGCCCCCTCATCCGCATAGTGGGGGATCGCTTCCCCTGGCAGGTCAAGGCCGCCATTCTCTCCACGCTAGCCATCCTCATCACCAAGGGCGGCATCGCCCTCAAGCCCTTCCTTCCTTCCTTCTAATCCCCATTTCCTTCCCCCTTCCCCCTGCCTGCTTGGTGCTCCCCCTCTCCCTTCCCCCTACCAGTCCCCTCATCCGCATAGTGGGGGATCGCTTCCCCTGGCAGGTCAAGGCCGCTATTCTCTCCACGCTCGCTATCCTCATTTCCAAGGGCGGCATCGCCCTCAAGCCCTTCCTGCCGCAGCTGCAGACCACCTTCATCCGCTGCCTTCAGGACTCCAACCGGTACGTTGCTTCTGCTCTCTCCCTGTTCTCTCCCGCGTACCAAGTACCATTTGAGCCAAGTCTGTATGGGGGCAGGCAGGCAAAGGTGGAAACAGGGGTGCCTCAAGAACCACGTCAAGCCCTTTTTTCCTGCTGCAGCTGCAGCTGCGCACTACTTGCATCTGCTGCAGCTGCAGCTGCGCACTACTTTCATCTGCTGCAGCTGCAGCTGCGCACTACTTTCATCTGCTGCAGCTGTAGCTGCGCACTACTTTCATCTGCTGCAGCTGCAGCTGCGCACTACTTTCATCTGCTGCAGCTGCAGCTGCGCACTACTTTCATCTGCTGCAGCTGCACCTGCGCACTACTTTCATCTGCTGCAGCTGCAGCTGCGCACTACTTTCATCTGCTGCAGCTGCAGCTGCGCACTACTTTCATCTGCTGCAGCTGCACCTGCACACTACTTTCATCTGCTGCAGCTGCAGCTGCGCACTACTTTCATCTGCTGCAGCTGCACCTGCGCACTACTTTCATCTGCTGCAGCTGCAGCTGCGCACTACTTTCATCTGCTGCAGCTGCAGCTGCGCACTACTTTCATCTGCTGCAGCTGCAGCTGCGCACTACTTTCATCTGCTGCAGCTGCAGCTGCGCACTAATTTCATCTGCTGCAGCTGCACCTGCGCACTACTTTCATCTGCTGCAGCTGCAGCTGCGCACTACTTTCATCTGCTGCAGCTGCACCTGCGCACTACTTTCATCTGCTGCAGCTGCAGCTGCGCACTACTTTCATCTGCTGCAGCTGCAGCTGCGCACTACTTTCATCTGCTGCAGCTGCAGCTGCGCACTACTTTCATCTGCTGCAGCTGCAGCTGCGCACTACTTTCATCTGCTGCAGCTGCAGCTGCGCACTACTTTCATCTGCTGCAGCTGCAGCTGCGCACTACTTTCATCTGCTGCAGCTGCAGCTGCGCACTACTTTCATCTGCTGCAGCTGCACCTGCGCACTACTTTCATCTGCTGCAGCTGCAGCTGCGCACTACTTTCATCTGCTGCAGCTGCACCTGCGCACTACTTTCATCTGCTGCAGCTGCACCTGCGCACTACTTTCATCTGCTGCAGCTGCACCTGCGCACTACTTTCATCTGCTGCAGCTGCACCTGCGCACTACTTTCATCTGCTGCAGCTGCACCTGCGCACTACTTTCATCTGCTGCAGCTGCACCTGCGCACTACTTTCATCTGCTGCAGCTGCACCTGCGCACTACTTTCATCTGCTGCAGCTGCACCTGCGCACTACTTTCATCTGCTGCAGCTGCACCTGCGCACTACTTTCATCTGCTGCAGCTGCACCTGCGCACTACTTTCATCTGCTGCAGCTGCACCTGCGCACTACTTTCATTTCATCTGCTGCAGCTGCACCTGCGCACTACTTTCATCTGCTGCAGCTGCACCTACGCACTTCTTTCATCTGCTGCAGCTGCACCTGCGCACTACTTTCATCTGCTGCAGCTGCACCTGCGCACTACTTTCATCTGCTGCAGCTGCAGCTGCGCACTACTTTCATCTGCTGCAGCTGCACCTGCGCACTACTTTCATCTGCTGCAGCTGCAGCTGCGCACTACTTTCATCTGCTGCAGCTGCACCTGCGCACTACTTTCATCTGCTGCAGCTGCACCTGCGCACTACTTTCATCTGCTGCAGCTGCACCTGCGCACTACTTTCATCTGCTGCAGCTGCACCTGCGCACTACTTTCATCTGCTGCAGCTGCACCTGCGCACTACTTTCATCTGCTGCAGCTGCACCTGCGCACTACTTTCATCTGCTGCAGCTGCACCTGCGCACTACTTTCATCTGCTGCAGCTGCACCTGCGCACTACTTTCATCTGCTGCAGCTGCACCTGCGCACTACTTTCATCTGCTGCAGCTGCACCTGCGCACTACTTTCATCTGCTGCAGCTGCACCTGCGCACTACTTTCATTTCATCTGCTGCAGCTGCACCTGCGCACTACTTTCATCTGCTGCAGCTGCACCTGCGCACTTCTTTCATCTGCTGCAGCTGCACCTGCGCACTACTTTCATCTGCTGCAGCTGCACCTGCGCACTACTTTCATCTGCTGCAGCTGCACCTGCGCACTACTTTCATCTGCTGCAGCTGCACCTGCGCACTACTTTCATCTGCTGCAGCTGCACCTGCGCACTACTTTCATCTGCTGCAGCTGCACCTGCGCACTACTTTCATCTGCTGCAGCTGCACCTGGGCACTACTTTCATCTGCTGCAGCTGCACCTGCGCACTACTTTCATCTGCTGCAGCTGCACCTGCGCACTACTTTCATCTGCTGCAGCTGCACCTGCGCACTACTTTCATCTGCTGCAGCTGCACCTGCGCACTACTTTCATCTGCTGCAGCTGCACCTGCGCACTACTTTCATCTGCTGCAGCTGCACCTGCGCACTACTTTCATCTGCTGCAGCTGCACCTGCGCACTACTTTCATCTGCTGCAGCTGCACCTGCGCACTACTTTCATCTGCTGCAGCTGCAGCTGCGCACTACTTTCATCTGCTGCAGCTGCACCTGCGCACTACTTTCATCTGCTGCAGCTGCAGCTGCGCACTACTTTCATCTGCTGCAGCTGCACCTGTGCACTACTTTCATCTGCTGCAGCTGCACCTGCGCACTACTTTCATCTGCTGCAGCTGCACCTGCGCACTACTTTCATCTGCTGCAGCTGCACCTGCGCACTACTTTCATCTGCTGCAGCTGCACCTGCGCACTACTTTCATCTGCTGCAGCTGCACCTGCGCACTACTTTCATCTGCTGCAGCTGCAGCTGCGCACTACTTTCATCTGCTGCAGCTGCACCTGCGCACTACTTTCATCTGCTGCAGCTGCACCTGCGCACTACTTTCATCTGCTGCAGCTGCACCTGCGCACTACTTTCATCTGCTGCAGCTGCACCTGCGCACTACTTTCATCTGCTGCAGCTGCACCTGCGCACTAATTTCATCTGCTGCAGCTGCACCTGCGCACTACTTTCATCTGCTGCAGCTGCAGCTGCGCACTACTTTCATCTGCTGCAGCTGCACCTGCGCACTACTTTCATCTGCTGCAGCTGCACCTGCGCACTACTTGCATCTGCTGCAGCTGCACCTGCGCACTACTTTCATCTGCTACAGCTGCACCTGCGCACTACTTTCATCTGCTGCAGCTGCACCTACGCACTACTTTCATCTGCTGCAGCTGCACCTACGCACTACTTTCATCTGCTGCAGCTGCACCTGCGCACTACTTTCATCTGCTGCAGCTGCACCTGCGCACTACTTTCATCTGCTGCAGCTGCACCTGCGCACTACTTTCATCTGCTGCAGCTGCACCTGCGCACTACTTTCATCTGCTGCAGCTGCACCTGCGCACTACTTTCATCTGCTGCAGCTGCACCTGCGCACTACTTTCATCTGCTGCAGCTGCACCTGCGCACTACTTGCATCTGCTGCAGCTGCACCTGCGCACTACTTTCATCTGCTGCAGCTGCACCTGCGCACTACTTTCATCTGCTGCAGCTGCACCTGCGCACTACTTTCATCTGCTGCAGCTGCACCTGGGCACTACTTTCATCTGCTGCAGCTGCACCTGCGCACTACTTTCATCTGCTGCAGCTGCACCTGCGCACTACTTTCATCTGCTGCAGCTGCACCTGCGCACTACTTTCATCTGCTGCAGCTGCACCTGCGCACTACTTTCATCTGCTGCAGCTGCACCTGCGCACTACTTTCATCTGCTGCAGCTGCACCTGCGCACTACTTTCATCTGCTGCAGCTGCACCTGCGCACTACTTTCATCTGCTGCAGCTGCACCTGCGCACTACTTTCATCTGCTGCAGCTGCACCTGCGCACTACTTTCATCTGCTGCAGCTGCACCTGCGCACTACTTTCATCTGTTGCAGCTGCACCTGGGCACTACTTTCATCTGCTGCAGCTGCACCTGCGCACTACTTTCATCTGCTGCAGCTGCACCTGCGCACTACTTTCATCTGCTGCAGCTGCACCTGCGCACTACTTTCATCTGCTGCAGCTGCACCTGCGCACTACTTTCATCTGCTGCAGCTGCACCTGCGCACTACTTTCATCTGCTGCAGCTGCACCTGCGCACTACTTTCATCTGCTGCAGCTGCACCTGCGCACTACTTTCATCTGCTGCAGCTGCACCTGCGCACTACTTTCATCTGCTGCAGCTGCACCTGCGCACTACTTGCATCTGCTGCAGCTGCACCTGCGCACTACTTTCATCTGCTGCAGCTGCAGCTGCGCACTACTTTCATCTGCTGCAGCTGCACCTGCGCACTACTTTCATCTGCTGCAGCTGCACCTGCGCACTACTTTCATCTGCTGCAGCTGCACCTGCGCACTACTTTCATCTGCTGCAGCTGCACCTGCGCACTAATTTCATCTGCTGCAGCTGCACCTGCGCACTACTTTCATCTGCTGCAGCTGCACCTGCGCACTACTTTCATCTGCTGCAGCTGCACCTGCGCACTACTTTCATCTGCTGCAGCTGCAGCTGCGCACTACTTTCATCTGCTGCAGCTGCACCGGCGCACTACTTTCATCTGCTGCAGCTGCACCTGCGCACTACTTTCATCTGCTGCAGCTGCAGCTGCGCACTACTTTCATCTGCTGCAGCTGCACCTGCGCACTACTTTCATCTGCTGCAGCTGCACCTGCGCACTACTTTCATCTGCTGCAGCTGCACCTGCGCACTACTTTCATCTGCTGCAGCTGCACCTGCGCACTACTTTC